GGTGGTGTTGTTGTTTAAACTATTCAGGGTCCTGTACTTTGTTTTTAATGTCAACACATTCAGAGGAAGTTGTAATTTCCCCCTCTTAAGTAACACGATTTGTGGATATCGAGACAGTGTTTGTTGATTTCAGTTTGGTGTATGCAAATTTAGTAAACAAGAAATTGTTGTTTTTATTAATAAAAGGCTTGGTTTATTTCACGCTTTAGAAGAGTTAGTTTCCTAATTAAGTGTAGATAATAATCTTTTCAGGTTTTGTACGTGTTTAACATTCTTAAGTCTCTGCCTTGTTTTCGTGTTTTAAATCAGTAAATTAATTTGAAGGCCCTAAAAGTTGACAGTCGACATTTATTGCGATCAGTAACCTGCAAACGCTACTAAATTTATATTCATAATTGTAAATTTCATCTGTCGTTTTCCTTGATGTTTTGGAGGTTACGAAAGTGGAAGAATCCTGATTTGTTTATGTAATCGCAAGTTTTGAATTCGGGGAAATTCTATATTATTATCATCTGTTCTCTAACCGCAATATGAGGACATTTTATTGAAATTTCGTTGCATCTTATTGAAATGTTATAAACGCACCAGTGACAAGTTCACGCATAATCCATTAATTTTCTTTAACAAAGTCAGCAATTAGTGTGATGTATGATACTGCTATTACCTATCATGTACGCGGGCCAGGGGTTGAGAACCCCTTTTATAAAGTTTCCTCGTCACACAACCACTGACATTACTCCGCCACTGATTATGTTGTCAAATTTGAAATTACAATCGATACCTATCGAAGGCCGATCGTTTGTACGAAGGAAAACGACCTACTCTGAAAGTAGCTACAGAAACGTGCGTGGGATGTGTAAAACGACTTGCAGCAAGAGATTTGAAATAAATTTTAAACTAGTTTCGTGTGTATTACAACCTAAAAGGAAGAAGTCGGTTGCTCGAGATATAAAATAAAAATGCGGTTTGATCTTACTCAATAGTTTCGTAAGTGTTGGTTAAACCAGAACTGAAACAAAATGGCCGACTCGTGCCACAGGTTAAGGTAGGATTTTTTTTTTTTACTGCTGTGCTCTATACATTTTGAAATAATGTGCATTTCTGTAAGCCAGCATTTAGTTTTCACATAGTGTTGACCGTCTGAAGCCTAAGCTCGCCTAAGAATGTGCATTTCTGTAAGCCAGCATTTAATTTTAACATAGTGTTAACCGTCTGAAGCCTAAGCTCGCCTAAATAATGTTTAATAATTAAGTCCGTCGCGCCATCATTACAAATATTAGTTTGTTATCGTTTGAGTAAATAATAATTTACATTGAGAATCTCGCAAGATCTATGAACACAAAGTGCAGGTTTATTGATTGTTAAAGCATGCTTTAAAGGGTTAATATTATTGTTAGCTTCTTGAACCATTTGTCATTTAATACGCGAAAGATTTACAATTTGTTTTCAGAAACGGTATTTTAATATATCATTCCCGCAAAATGTTACTCTTTTCCGAAGTTGGACTTTCTGTTTCCATGAACCGTAATGTACAATCCACAAACAAAATAAATGAGAAACATTAAAATGAACGAAGGTGGTACATACATGCATGCGGGAAGTTGACCATTTGCGTACCGGCATGTGGTAAAGGTTTAGAAATGCCGGTTTGCGTGTTCCTTTAAAGCGGGACGTATCTGCACTGTCAGAAATTGGCCGATTTTGACCTGCGTACAGATCTAACGGAGCCGGGCTGAGAAGCCTGTGTTGTGTTGGATATCATTAGGTTAGGTTAGCATATTAAAAATGTGATTATCATTTTATTTAACGGTAAATTGTGAAAGGGGAATGGCAGTTACATACCAAATTTTGGTAGGAAAATATCTTCGAAATTGAATACCGAAAATTGATCGAGATTCGTGTCCGATGGCCGGATTTGGTGTTAGCGGTGTTGAACCTTCGGGTTCAGCTACCGGTTAGTTAACAGCAGTAGGCGAAGTACGAGTTAAGCTTGACCTTTAAACAGTACCCTGCGTATAAGTAATGGATCTTTTCAGAGTAGATCCAGTGTGTTGTTTGGATGGAGTCTGAAGTGAGCAACTGTGTAGAGATTCCGTCGAGATTAATTTGACTCGTATCTTTGCCTATATTTCAAAGTTGCGGCGGATCGTGTTGGTCAGGACTGAGTGATGATCTGTGGGGCCGTGACCTCGTGTTACTGGATGATTCACGTCGCAGCCTCTCAACATCACGTACAGCTTGACCCCTGAAGACTTTGGCAAAGCTTTATTTACAGAGTGATACGGAAATCAGAATAGCTTACTTTGTGAGGTTTGTAGGTGATTATCTCCAGACAGTGCAGGGGCGTGGAATGTGATGATTTCTTCTTCTTCTTCTTCTTCTTCCTTCCGTGTGTTGGGTTTAAGTGCATTGTCGTCTTCCGAATGGCTTTACTGTGTCTTTGTAACATTTAGATTTGTACTGAATGGGTTGGCGACGTTTCGCTTGAACTGGGTTATGCATGTGATGCGTATTTAGGGTCACTTTGTTTGCCGTTGTAGAAATGATCGCAGAGATTTCTCTAACGGATCGTTGCGTCTCTTGTTTATTCCTTTGCGTTTGGAAATGAGAGAAATGCATCTCCCGTTTAATGGACGCATAAAATAAATGCAGGCGACACTGCTGGGACGCGCACAGCATAGTAATAGTGCTTAATAGTCCCGGCCGTTGACTGGTGACTTCGCTTCTGAAGACAAACTTGGCACCAGACGTCACTCGGACCCTCTACCTCGTGCAGACCGAAGCAGCAGATGGATAGACATCTAATTGTTACTTTGTTCTGTTATTTTATTATTCTCTTATCAGTTATAGGAGGCAGTCGTTGCCTGCATCTCGATATCTCCTTATCTACCTCCTTTATCCACTCCTCTCCCATATCATTGTCATCCTATCATCCTTCTCGTCATTATCATTCTGTAGCTTGTGTTGGGCAAGGCCGTGGTCTAGGCAACACGGAGTTTTCCTCCGTGGCATCCCAACAATTACTCCATTCACACACAGAAGAAGGCAATGGCAAACCACTTCTGGATCATCTGCCAAGAACGTATATGAACAGGTCCCAGTCCGAGAAAAGGATGGAAGGATCCTGTTCATATGGACCTGTCGTCAGACAGAACACTAAATAAAAATAAAATACTACTTTATTTATGTATATACTCATCCTCTTCATCTTCCTGTCTCCTTATCCGTTTTCTTCATTCTCTGCTTTCCTGCTTGTTTACTCGCATGAAGCCATGTTTCAGATTTCGTACGACCACGTAGAAGTAAGCGTGTGGAGTGTAAGGTCGCGTTTACGAAAATTGCTACTAGTCCAGTGTGTCACTAGGTTGCAACCTCCGAAATATGTAGAAAATAGACCCACTGGGCTACTGGTCCCAAATTAACTGCTTGTAGAATCTCTGTGAAGTGCTGAAATACGGATTGTCGCCGTGGATGCTGGTGCTGCAAGGTGAATGAACTGATTATCCACCCTACGTGCTGCTCACAACAATACCTCGTCAACAGAACGTGCGTGGGCCGCAGTTCCGTGACATCTGTCTTTGGTTCTCCAGCCTCCACCACTTTCACCCGAAGCTGAATTGCACGACGTATTCCGTTCGCGTTTCGACCTGTGTCATCCAGGACAGCAGGTCTCCGGTCTCCGAGACCTCCCGAATACGAAGGGTGACTTCTAGCCGCTCGACCGCGGCGTTGGCATGTTTTTTCTTGGAACCTGTAACCTTCGTCGTGTTTATTTAATGATGCTTTTTGTTCTACATTGATTATATAGTAAGAGGCACTTGAAAACATTCGTTGCCTATTTTAAGGAAGCAAGCTGTTGTGTTTTCCGGGAAGGGCTGAGGAATACCACTCGAAGACGTTGAGAGTAACCAGTCCCCGATCTGGATACCCAGAATTTGAAGCAGGGATGCTAAGCGCTACACTACATGTATTGAAAAGTATCTGGTACGATCACAATGTTTACTGCGATGTCTCTGTACTCAAACATTTGTGTGACTTGTTGCTTCTCCCATTCTTCTAGAGGTACTCCCCCCACCCCGCCCTACATGTACACACTTGTCCGATCCTTTGAAATAACTGTATAAAGACGCCGATCCAAATTTTTGCTTACGAGAAGCAATGAAAATTCCTGGTAAACTCTGACGATGCTTGCAAGGCAAGTTGACGAATCCAAGGTATCTTATTTGTCGTCGTGCAATTTAGTCCAAAAGTTTTGTCTGTCACTTTGTTTCTAACACTAATTATGTTCTTTCGTCTGTTCACGTTCGTTTACGTCTCACGGAAGAAAAGGTTAGGGCGTGTTCTAACTCTGTTGGACTTCGACGAGTATGTTTTGATTCTGCACCGAATGTAGCTTGTGACTGCTATCTTATTGCCAAGAAAATCTCGCTGAATGTGTTTCAACTGTCAAGAAGAGATACAATCTTCCATTAATGCTATTAGGTAATTGAGCATGATGAAGTAGGCGGCAGACGCAACCCGCATCGGATGATATTTGCATACCAAAGCCTCAAGCGAAGAGGCTTCTTGGAGAACGTAGACTGAAAAATAAGAGAATAATATTGAAATGGCTCTGTAAATGTGACGTGAGGGTGTGAACTGATTCCGTTGTTGGCTCAGGACAGGGTTCAGTAGCGGGCTTTTTGTGAACACGGTTAATTTCTTGACCAAATGAGAAACGATCAGCTTGCCAACAAAGGCTCCGCACCGTTAGTTATTCAGTCCACTGTCAGATGGCACAAGGTTATTTTACTTACACCGTCGGAGTGTGCTCTAAACGAGTTTTTCCCCCCGCTTGTAGTGTCCGAGTAAGAACGGAATAAGTACTCCCACCCTATTTTGTTGGAAGCTTGCGAATGAAACTGGTAGCTTTTCCATTAAACCCGGACGTCGGCATGCGTCACGCTAATCGGTCTGTAGGTGGGGCTGATAATTACTGACTCCTGTTTCTTATTTTGCAGTTCAACTTCGTGGGCCGTATTCTGGGACCTCGGGGCATGACAGCGAAGCAGCTAGAGACAGAAACTGGCTGCAAAATCATGGTCCGGGGGCGAGGCTCCATGAGGGACAAGAAAAAGGTAACTTACCAACACAATTTCTGAGGTTACCGACGCTTGGCCCGGTCGTGTATCTGAATTCTGTGGAAATTGTGTGATTCAGCGAAGATGGGCGCCCCGTAGTCTGGTAGAAGTTATATCAACGTTTCGGAGGTGGTTACTGCCTCCATCAGCAGGGCGAATCGTCCAGAACCTATAAATCACGGTCATCTTCGTACTTGCCGCCGTGAGAACATCAGATTCTACATAATATAATTTTTCTTCTGAAGGGTGATTGAACTTCAGTATGTCAGAACATTTAGATTGTTACCGAGGTCTCAAACTGTTTTACTGACACTAGATCAGGATATTATGGGCCGGGATTGCTCAGTCAGTATAGTGACTGGAAAACCGGGGTTCGATCCCCGACGGGGGCAGAGGATTTTTTCCTCTAGCCTCTGCGTCCAGACCGACTCTGGGGCCCACCCAGCCTCCTGTTCAATGGGTACCGGGGTCCTTTCCCGGGGGTAAAGCCGGCCGGGGCGTGATGCTGACCACTCACCCCCATCTAGTGCCGAGGTCAAGGAAGAGAGGAGCTATACCTCCTCTCACCCCAAGCGCCTACATGGCGTATAGTGGGACAAACTTTACTTTACTTTTACTAGATCAGGATATTTCTGAAATTAACTAGAATCTGTTCAGCAGAACGTTTATGTAGTTGTTCTTACTCAGTCACAAATATAATTAGATTTTTACCGATGTTTATAAACGTTACCTGTTTTTGTTCTCTCTCTCTCTCTCTCTCTCTCTCTTTCCCCCCGAGATCGAAAGGGAGCTTGAATATTTGTCAGTATAGTGACTAGGCTACGAGTTGGACGACCGGGGTTCGAATTCCGGCTCTGGGCCCGGCCATCCTCCTGTTTGGTGAGCAGCAGGGCTCTTCTCCTGTCGTGAAACGAACCATTCAGTGCTGAGGTTAAAAATTCGTGGAGCTGTACATCGTTATGGAGTCGTGCTTAGTTAATTAAGCGCGGGGACGGTTTTAGATTTTCCGAGGTCGAAGAAAGTCTAAATCAACACAGCACGAAGATTCGACTGACGCCATCGTTAAGTAAACCGCAAATCAATAAATAAGCGAATATAATTACTTAATTAATTGACGAATAAATACATTTGGTGGCAGATATTTTCCCATTGCTTGATGTTGTTCTCGTGAAACGTTTTTGCTGTCATGCTTTACCTACGTTTAATATTTACATAAACTCTTAGTTTCCATGAAGATACGTGGTTATGGAATTGCCGGTTTTGAAATATACTTTCTGCTTTGTCAGCTGGAATAAATACATTCTTTTATTTTTATGTATTCAGCCGTGACGGGTGAAAGGCTGAATCACATTTTCGCTTCTCGGTCTCGTTTGTCAACAGTGAGTTGTCTGCTATATTTGTAACGTTTGTCTGTATTACGTAATAATTTAACTCTGGATGAATTCTTAATGATGACATTTGATATTACGAGATCTTACTAAAATGTAAGTACAGACTGTAATTTTGCTCCAGTAGGCTTCCACTTTGCATGAAGACAAATACATTTAATAGTTTCTTCTCACGAACTGCATAAATTAACGTATGATTAATAAGTTATGTCACATACCCGTAATAAATATTTGGACTGGGTATTTCAGTACGATATAACGTATTACCAGGAACTTTTTAATTTATGTAAGTCGTGTTGTGAAATCCAGGAGGCCCTGGACATGTAACTTGCTTCTTCGGATGGGCTGCGTAATTTTATTGGCGGAATTTGAAGGAGGCCTCTTGGAAAAAGGTGGGATAAGAAGGATAATTTTACGAAAAGAAAAGAAAAGAATGCAATCTTAGATAAATTCTGGGGTTGCAGTGTGGATGGAGGTGGCTCAGGATCTTGTGCATTGGCTGGCTTTGCTGTTTGCGGTCTTCGGATTCTACTTTCAGTTCGTTTATGAAAGTGTTTACCAACAGCGAAGAGCCAGTGGCAGGCGAACACTGATATAATAAAGGGAAATATTGATTGTCTAATTAGTTACCAAGGTATATACAGACTCGCCTGACGAACACTTTATTTATGATCCTATAATAAAGTTCCAAGGTTCTGGCTTTCAGCTACTTTCATAATTTATATCAAGACCTTGTGCTAAATGTAATAAACAATCTTCTTTCGCGTCAGTACACAAAAGGTTTTCACGTCGACCGAGAGGTCGTAACCCAGGATTCTGAGATTATCCAATTAAAGCGGCTTATCCTTGCATTAGTGATGAGAGTACCGCAGGATGATCGCCGCGTTCTGTGCCTTCTGCAGGACCGGATGCGGCGAAGTGGCAAGCTCAAGGAGAAGGGGGGGGGGAGTTACGACTGCACGATGTCTCAAAATATGCTCACTCATAAATAATGGAAAAACACTCTTTGTAGGATCTGAGGTTTTTACGGCGGTGAGCTCGAATATGGCTGTCTTGTGGGTTGTCGCGCCGTGTAGTCTGGTAGAAGTTTACCACCGTTTCGAAGAGCATTGCTGCGTTCATCATCAGGACAGTGAGTCCCGTCCTGTTGATGGAGGCAGCAAGGACCTCTGAAACGTCGGTAAAAGTTCTACCAGATTACTTGTTTTTTTATGAAACCCGAACATGTGACCACAAAACTCCCCGTAAAGAGCCAGTTGAAACTAGTTTACGAATATCAGTTTTAATCCAAGTTCTTGGTCGTTGCTTAGAATGCGACAAAGATCTCTCTATCCTGACGACGTTTTCTGATTACGGGGTGTTGCTGGCCCCACAGTCAGACGATGAAATGTAAGACCAACTCATGTCGACTGTCCGCAACCGCTTCTTCGCCGTTTTCTCAGGCCCTGTTCTCAGTCCGTTCGCTGTCGCCGACCAGACGAGTGATTAATTTGTTTTTAGGCACCCTGTACACAACAGCCGCGTCTGGCTTGTGCCTGTTTCTATGGCGGCAGCCCCAGATACTTGTAATTGATACCACTTGGATGGAGGCTCACACTTAATAATTCCAGCCCTTGTTCGTAGCGCCGGTGCGTCGTCATTTACATTTCATTCATTCTCAAAGGAGAGGAGGCATTTGGTACGCATCCTGATGTCGACTGTCGTGCCTTGCGTCCGGAAGGCGTCTGACTCGACTCTCGATCAGTTAACTTTCTCCTGACTGGTATTTTAGTTCAGTTTCTCTTCGGACCACTTGACTGAACGTTGTTGTCGAGTGGTTCGCACTCCTGCTTCGAATTTGGAAGCTCTTGGACTCAATTCTCCTCCCGAAGGCTGGCATGACTGTGGTTTTATGTGGTCTTTCTCAGTCACTCGAGGGAAATGCTACCTTGACAGTGTCGCGCCGCATATTACCGTGACATGCTCCCCCACGACTGACTTCTTCTTCCCAATCCTCACCATACATGATCGTATTCTCGTCTTAGTCGACGTTCTGTAACATCTGCGGTTGAAATAGCGTCGTTTAAATTGTGTTTGAGCTCCGGTAGACCCTCCGTGGCGAGGTGCTTGGACGCAGGAGCAGCGGTGGAGATTGAAACTGCTTTGACCGCTGGTGGATTAGCTCACGGGCCCCTGCGATGTTCTATTTTGTAAGTTGTTGGCTTCCCGTAAGCACCAGATGCCAAGTGAGCAACTTGTCTATTCTCGGCTCCTCTGAGACACATATGAGTGACTTTGTATATTTTCATAAATGCAGCCGACTTGTACTGAACAGAAAATTTTTGGCTGGCTGTCAGATTCGAAGAACGAGACGGTTTCACACATTCTGCGATGTAAGATCATTAAGAGTGGAACTATGTAAATTGATACTTGGACGTTACTTCATTACAGAAGCAAAGCTAATCATAATTCAGACATTACAGCGAAAAACTCTATTGTAGGTACGAACACAGAGTGAGTGGTATGCTCCAGCAAGTTCATACATTTTCCGTGTGCTTTCTTGTGATAGTTTTATACCAAATTTTGAAGGAGGTGAAGTTGTTCAGAAAATGTCAAAGTTCGATTTGAGTCTCATGAAGAAGGAAAAAAAAGTTATCTACCCAGCTTTATTATGGAAGAATTTCTTTCGTAAAATACTTTCTGCGTCATGTTTCAGCCTTATCAGGTCATCTTCAGGTGTATCGTTGGACCTCCAATTTATTTCACTTAATAATGATTTCAGTAGCAACAGGGTTTTTGCCAGTTCGGTAACGTTTAGTGACGTCACTTCGCCCGACGTTTTTACCGCTATCAGATGAAGAAGGAGACAGGGACGTAGACATGTACACGCATAGCGGAAATGAGGAAGGCAAACAAAATTTTAGCCGAAAAACATGAAAATAGAGACTTGGAAGACACGTGCATAGAACGGAGGATAATATTGATGAGGTGTTAAGGATGAAATAAGGTGTGAAGGAGTCGTAAAGAATTATCTCGCTCGGGATACGAACCAGTGAATGTCGTAATAAATTGTGTTCCGTAAGTGACGAATTTCTGGGCGAATTGTGTTCCGTAAGTGACGAATTTCTTGACGGGCTGGGCCACTGTTAGCTTATCAAGAAGCAGTGTGCTCCGTGGAGATGGTTATATACAAAGGGTCTTTATTTTTGAACCCAAGATGGCAATTATAATAGTACTTTGGTGTTTGCAATTAATATAAACAAGTAAGAAGCCAGTAGAAGGGGTAAGTAAACTGTGATTCGTGGCAAGAAGTCGGTTAGCACGAGACATGATAATTGTTAAGAGGACAAACCGGGTTAGCACGAGACATGATAATTGTTAAAAGTACAAACCACGTATGTCCGGTAAGTGCATTTGTAAAGACATTCATTCGTTCCTCGTGTGAAATGCGACCTTCCAAGAATGGCAGTACCTCGTTTCATGAGGGAAATTTTATGGACGGTGTTGGCAGTAAAATACAAAATGTGGGATATATCAGAATATAAATAATTTGCTGGGACTCTATTGGTATATATCAGTATAGGAACAAATTTTATTCTGCGAACTACCATTTCACATGTACACTTCAAT